TGTAATAATAAATATATTGAGCTATTTTTGTGGATCAGTTTTAATATTTATATAACTATGATCCACTTGGATTATATACCAACGATTTTGTTACCTTTACTCTCTCTCTCTCGCTCTCTCTGTCTCTGTCTCTATCTCTGTATATATATATATATATATATATATATATATGAATATATTTATGTATGTCTGTGTGTATATTCAAGTATTAATTATTGCTGATAATATGCATTATCTAGTTACTACATACTATACACACAGGCAATTCACAAAAAATGTACACACATGCACACACACACATGTATATATATATATTCTTGATATTGTTATTACTGACATATTCACGCACCTTTTGACTTTCTCGGTCTTGTGAAAAGCTTAACTCTTTTTTTATTTACATGAAAGAAAGAGAGACTGTGAAGAAATACACACATGAGAAATCAATGCATGGGCAAGAGTTTACGCATGCGCACATACCTTCTAGCATATGGTGTTCCGCATCGGAGCAGAGGGTCAGAAATTACGAGAATATCTGCAAAAGTTCGACGTTGACATAAACGGTCTAGCAGGAGGTCATAAAACCAACCCCAAATAATAAACCCGACAAACCATCCTGTGTCCTCACCGCTAACGTAAAATGAAGAAAGTCTCTCAAGCATGAAATTGGTTAAGCATGTTGCAGTAATTAACACCAGATCTGGAGGCGAATATCGTGTACTTTAAGTCTAGATCACCTAAGATAGATAGATAGATAGATAGATAGATAGATAGATAGATAGATAGATATGGAGAGGCTGAGATAACATATCTCTCTACCTATAGATAGAAAGAAAACTAGAAAAAAAACTAAAAGAGATAGATATGAACAGGCTGAAAAAACGTAGATATGAAGAGGCTGAGGTTACACAGATAGATCGATATATATATATATATATATATATATATGCACATACACACACACACACACACACACACACACACATATATATATATATATATATATATAGATAGATAGATAGATAGATAGATAGATAGATAGATAGATAGAGACTGTGTTAGATAGATAGGTTTGAACAGACTGTTATTCCATATTATTAACAGTTATTATTATTATTATTAGTAGTAGTAGTATTGGAGATTGTAGTAGTCCTAGCAGTAGTTTCCTATGGCATCCTTCTGGAAGTGTCTTCTCACGAAAATTGACTTTCCCTGATACCATAGAGTTGTATGTTGGGGATCAGGGAACAGCAATGCAGGACTGAACAGTGTGGAAAGGGATTGCCAATGGAGTTACGACCAACCATAGGAAGGTCGAAGAATGATGATATTGATGAGTAGTATTTTGGGGGATTGTAAAAATAATAAAAAGATTATAACTGGCAGTGATGCAATCACAAAATAGAGAAAAAAGTTAGTAGCTTATATAACAATCCTCATAGGATTTTAGGGTCGCAACTTTGGTGGATTCTGCATATATTTTTTTCAGAATGGCCACGTTAAGATGTTTGTCGAATTTATAGTCGTTTGTAATAAAACAATTAAGATTAATAGATATTATTATCAATTATATTCTTATTATTAGATTATTATCATTGTTGTTTTGTTGCAAATTTTGGGGTTGTCTTAAATTTTTAATTGTATTAAAGATTAATTAACTTATGTCGAAACCGGCTCCTTATTTCGTACGGAAAATTGATGGATATGCAATGATTAAATGATGTAATGATTAAATGATGTAATGATTAAATAATGCAATGATTAAATGATGTTATGATTAAATGATGTAATGATTAAATAATGCAATGATTAAATGATGTAATGATTAAATAATGCAATGATTAAATGATGTAATGATTAAAGGATGTAATGATTAAATAATGCAATGACGAAATAATATAATGATTAAATAATATAATGATTAAATAATGGAATGATTAAATGATGTAATGATTAAATAATTCAATGATTAAATGATGTAATGATTAAATGATGTAATGATTAAGTAATGCAATGACAAAATAATATAATGATTAAATAATGGAATGATTAAATAATATAATGATTAAATAATGCAATGATTAAATAATGTAATGATTAAATAATGTAATGATTAAATAATGGAATGATTAAATAATGGAATTATTAAATAATGCAATGATTAAAAAATGTCGCCGTTTAATCTGCGAGAGGTTGGACGTAAATAAACATTAAACATTATTTAAATCCTGAAGATGCCATTTTTCAGCCGTTAGAAAGAAATGAAGAATATTTAAGAAACAGTTCTTTTCATTATTCATCTTCCTTATTTTTAGTAATTCCTCAGTTTGTTTAAATGGATTTTAGATTTCCATCTTTTTAATTCTGGTTTCAATTATTCCTTTCAGAGCTTTGAAATTTTCTTTCAATTTCCATTATTAAATATAAAATTTCTAGACATTTTTTTTTGTTCTTTTGTTTCAGAAGAGACATGATAATTAAGGCACCATAATTAAAGAACCAT